GGTTTTGGGGAGCCGTTTTGAAGATCCCTGAGGCAAGATCGATGCCGCTATAGGGATGTTTTTCGGGGGAACCTCTAGGGGTACAATCTTTAGGCGTGCGAGCCCTAAACCCTAAATTGACTTGATGGTTCCATTCCCTATGTTCCCTGTGTCAGTGGTCCCCAAGTCAAGGCAGGGGGCAGGGTTCAAGGTTACACCCCCCCTAACCCCCCCTCAAACCACCCCCCCCCCCCCCCCCCCCAAAACCCCCTCCCTGAACCCTCCAAAAACCCCCGAAACCACCCTAAACCTAAGGGTTTTTGGAGGTGTGCCCTGATAGGGTGCCTGCTAGAGGTTTCGGGTTTGCTTTGGGGCCTGCGCTGTAAGGGGCGCTCCCAACCCCCACCCCCCCAAAACAAAAAAAGATCCCTAAACCCTAAAAGTTTGGGTCTTAGGGTCCCTGAACCCCAAAGCCCTTAACCCTAAACCCTAAACCCCAAGCCCTTAACCCTAAACCCTAAACCCTAAACCCTTAGCCCCGAAGCCCTTAACCCTAAGCCCTAAGCCCTAAACCCTAAACCCAAGGGAGTTTGGGCGCATGCCCGCCTGGAGCAGCTCCACACAAATTTTGCCCAAGCATGAGTCGACCATTCCTGGGTCGCCCAGGGGCGGTGCGATAATGGTTTAGGGGCTGTTTCGTTTAGGGTTTAGGGTTTAGGGTTTAGGGTTTAGGGTTTAGGGTTTAGGGTTTAGGGTTTAGGGTTTAGGGTTTAGGGTTTAGGGTTTTTAGGGTTCAGGGTTCAGGGTTCAGGGTTTGGGGTTTGGGGTTTAGGGGTGTTGTTGGTGTATTGGATACGTAGTAGCACAAGGCTCCCTAGCGAGCTAGGAATGAAAAGGCTGGACAGTCTGTAGCCGCATCAGCCCAACCCTACCTTAATTAGGGTGCTGCTTCTTGTGCCGGGCTCGGTGAGCCTGGTACCCAGTAACCATATGATAATAAGGGCACCTTTTTTTGGGTCGGCGAATTTTGTAAAGGAAAAAAAAAAAAAAAAAAGGGAAAAGGGTACCACTGGGCTCCCAAGGTAAAGGAACAAACCCATGGACCCACAAGCCGACAGGGGCAAAAGTACCACTGGCTTCCTTGATTCCTGGATTCCTGGGAAGGCTGAGCTCCAAACCAAGGCGCAAAAAGGGGGGGGGGGGGAGGCTTCGTACTTAGGCCCCTGCCCCCCCCTCTCTTGTAGTTTCGGGTTTAGGCTTTAGACAGGAAGCCCAAAACCCTAAACCCTGAACCCGAAACGCTTAACCTAAACCCTTGTACTGCACTGCAAGGCTCGTGTGTGGAATGCTCCTGCTCGGCCTGTATCGCGGCCTGAGAAGCCTCAGGCCCAGGGGTCAAAGCGAATCAAGGGGCTTCGGGGGGGCTTAGAGGGGTTTCGGGTTTAGGGTTTAGGGTTTGGGGTTTGGGGTTTGGGGTTTCGGGTTCAGGGTGCCGAGCTTCGGGCTTGATATGGGACTACTGGGTGGGTGGGCAGCTTTCGTTATGTGGTGCACTGCTTAATACCGCATGGACTCTGCGAAGCTGAACCCTAAGCACCCTGAAGACTCCAAAAACCTAAGCCCTAACACTCTAAGACCCTGAAACCCCAAAAACCTGCAAACCGAAAACCCGAAAGCCCGAAAACCCTAAAGCCCGAAAACCCTAAAGCCCCTAAACCCCGAGACCCTAAGAAGGCCCAATGCAGTGGAAGAAGCTTCCCAGCAGCTGGGACGCTCTCCGCGCCTGGAAGCATTGGGAATCTGCACCCCGGACCAACCCTAGGGGTGAGGGGTTTGAGGTTTTGGGGGGTAGGGTTTAGGGTTTGAGGTTTTAGGGTTTTGGGAGTGTGCCGTTTTGGGGGGTAGGATGTTGGTTTCTTGGGGGATTCAGGGTTTTGTGGGTTTGAGGGTTTGAGGTTTTAGGTTCTGCGGAGGTTTACGGTTTTGGGGGGTATAGGGTTTGGGGTTTTTGGGGTTTAGGGTTTGGGGCTGAGGGCTTTCGGGTTTAGGGGTTTTGGGGTTTGGTGCCTTGTAATATGTGAGCCTTGCAAGCCCTCATAACCCATAAAGGAACGAAAAGCCAATCCCCAAGGTCCAGAACTTGTCTTCTCCATTCTGAACGCTGACTTTTACACTTTCCTGAGAGCATCTGAGAGCCACAAAAACAAGCCATACTCTTGGGATGCTCCCCCTTCTACTAAGAGGCATTATAAGCGGGTGTACTATAATCCCTACCAAGGACTCTTCGTATAAGGGGGAGCATCCCGACCGGTACTCTTAATATGCCCCCTTGATGTTGATAAACAACCCTACATCCCAAAGCCTAAGCTCCTGAAGGAAACTGCAGAACTTGGTTCCCCTATATCTTGGGGTTTAGGAGTGCGGGTTTAGGGTTTAGGGTTTAGGGTTTAGGGTTTAGGGTTTAGGGCTTAGGGCTTAGAGCTTAAGGAACAGGCTGAGGCATGCTCCTAGCTTGACGGAGGCAAGCGAGGGTGGCTAGACCCAGGGAATCTACAGGCTGCCCTTTTGGGTTTTCAGGGGATTCTAAAGGGAACCCCCAACCCTAAAAAGAAAGAAATCAGGGCCTACTCCGGGTCCTAGTTGCGGAGAAAGAAGAGGGACTCTTTTGAGCAGACCCGCGCCCCCTAATCCCCAAGCGCTTTTTCAAGCGCCAAACTGGGGGAGGGGGGGGGGGGGGGGGGGGAGGGATGCCCTTGGGCTTCTCAGAACCCTAAACCCTAAACCCTAAACCCCAAACCCTGCACCCTCCACCCAGGTTTTGCCTCGACTTCCGGCATGAGATCCGTGAGCTTCATGCCTTTGTAGCATGTCGCGTCCTCGCTCCTCAGTGTGAAAGGGGGGGGGGGGTTGGTTTTAGGACTTAGGGTTCAGGGTTCAGGGTTTAGGCTTTAGGGCTCAGGGTTAGGGATTAGGCCTTAGGGCTCCTCGATAGTTTCGCTCATGTGTCCAAGAACCAAGCGGACACACTTCAGCATTCCTACTGGTGTGGGAGAGCCCTGCAGCCGTTTCTGTGATGAGCTTAGAGCCTAGACCCTAGACCCTAGACCCTAGACCCTAGACCCTAAACCCTAAACCCTTCAGTGGCGAGAGCCGCCCAGAGACTCAAACCCTGCGAAGGCAACATCGTCCCAGCTGGAACTGCGAAGTTGCAGAGGTTAAGGGATTGGGGGGTTTAGGGTTTAGGGTTTAGGGTTTAGGGTTTAGGGTTTAGGGTTTAGGGTTTAGGGTTTAGGGTTTAGGGTTTAGGGTTTAGGGTTTAGGGTTTAGGGTTTAGGGTTTAGGGTTTAGGGTTTGAGGTGCAAAGGTTTGTGGATTAGGGTTTTCGTGCTGGTAGGTTGGCCCTTTGAACCCACTGATATGCTTTCTAGAGGTATTCGCTCCCCTTGAAAGATCCAATAAATGTCCCAAGGGCCTACCTGGAACAGGATCCCGCCCTGAACCCTAAACTCCTAAACTTGAAGGGTTCCCTGTTCAGCATGTTTTTTTGGGTGGGTGCTAGGAGATTGGGCAGGTTATGAGAAACTTTGAGGGCAGGGGTTGCTTTTCCAACTATGAGGAACAAACGATAGAAGAGGCCCAACAAAGAAAGGGCCCACAATTTAGATCCCCCCCCCCCCAGATGGTAGGATTAGGGTTTAGGGTTTCTGGGCTTCGCTTGTGGGGCTCCCTCCCTAAAACCTTGAGCCCTGAAGACCCCAACCCTAAAACCTTAAGCTTTAAACAGCCACGATGATGTTGTAGGGGTTTCTTAGTACGGAACTAAGGGACATGGTGCCCGGCATCATCATCCCTCGAAAGGTACATAGAACTTTTTACGAAGAACTCGCAGTTCAGGCCTTCCTCCCCCAACCCTTCTCCGCAACCAGCCAGATCCAAGATTCAGCAGAAGCGCGGCAAGCTCCTCAAGAAGCCCCGAAACCCTATAACCGCCCAGATTTCCCAAGGCCACAAAAGGTAGAGGGACCTTATAGGCATGCTGAAAAACTACTAGTTGCTAAGGAACTCCGAAAAAAACCTTTTCTTCCTTGTAAGGGTGATATAGGGACATGTTATGTTTTATCTTTGGGGGGTTCTTAAGCAAATGGTAGAAAACGATGTGAACGCCATTTTCGGCTCTTGGGGGATCGCGGGAGGCGGTGAAGTGCAACATCGTCGCTTTCAAGGCCAATCTGTGGCCTCTTCTCTAGTTCCTAGACCCGAAGCTCGAAACACTGTGGGCCTAAACCCTAAACCCTAAACCCTAAACCCTAAACCCTAAACCCTAAACCCGTTTCTCCACTTCCCACAACTCCCGAGCCATCTTTAGACCCCGAGCCAAGGCCCTTGGAGGGACCTGAGAATCCCTAAAATGGACCCCCCCAGATGGTAGGATTAGGGTTTAGGGTTTAGGGTTTAGGGTTTAGGGTTTAGGGTTTAGGGTTAGGGGATTTCCGAATACAAAGAACCCGCAAAAGGCACTACTCCTAGTGTCGGACCCCCACTATCTGAATCTTCGTGATTCGGGGAAAATCCCCCCCCCCCCCCCCCCCAACGCCTGGGTGCTCTGGTTGGCTGATGGGCATGTAGAAGTAGGGTTCTAAGCATCTCAAAACCACTTAGACCTACTGCTACCCTACCTACAACCCCGTCATCTACTAAACTCTAAACCCTAAACCCTAAACCCTGAACCCTGAACCCTAAGCCCTAAACCCTAAACCCTAAATTTGGATTTGATCCCAAGACTGGCAGTCGCACGGTACGTTTTCACTGCATAGCGTTCATGTAACGGCTACAAGGGGCCCCTTATGAACCGATGGGCCGCGGCATATATTCACATCCTGGCATGACTACACACTATACACAGCCTGGATTCAGACTCATCCTCTTCTCAGGTGTGAATTGAGATAGAGGGAATGTCGTGTTAAACATCGACGTTCTACGTCTCCGTAGCCACTTCTGTCCGTAGCCAACGGGTAGAGTCTCTACTGCCTTTCGATATGGTACAAGCAGTCTCTGAGTACTCTAATGAGCAAATCAGGCTTCATTGACTTGGTGAGACAATCAGCGATCATGGTGGCCGTTGAGGTCCACGTGATCCTGTCAGCCGCATCAGGGTAACGGTCAATCAACTTTGATCCGTCATCATCGAACAGTGCCTGACGCAATGCGTTCAGCTCAATTTGCAATCTCTTGTCTTGAACCTTTGATGGAACTTCACTGTTCAAATTATCAGATAACGACCTGCAGTCCGTTAACATCAGATGCGGTACGGCTGCTCTCGACTTGTCATACCAGTCGGAACCACTGCTGCCGCAGTCGTAAAGCTCGGCTAAGAGGGCCCGAATCCTGTCTCCGGATTCCTGTGCGTTTTGCAGAGCGTAGGTCTCAGCCTGGAGAGTTGCTCTGCATACTCTTTTGATCGTGGTGCTGCTGTAGCTCACGAGCATCACGTCAAAATCGCAGTTGCTGGGATCAGTCAACTGCTTCCTTGGAGCAAGGAAGTGAATGCGTCCTTGCTGTGATCGCATTCCGGGCTCAGCGGCAAAGCTGGCGTCTGAAGCCGTCAGTACGCCAAGTTGCATGAATTCACAGATTCCATGCTTGTATCTGATCTTAAGATCCTTGCCGGTGAGGGCAAGTTCCAAGACCTTATTTGCTTCCTTGAGGATAGCAACGCTGGCGCCCTTGATCTTGGATTGGAGGTAGGACACCTTGTAAAGTATGTCCGGTCTCCCCTGTCTGGCTATCCAGCTCAGACTCCCCACCACGGATTGTAGTTGTCGCTCTTCACCCTGAGTGATCGGATCGGATGGCTTGCGGCTCTTGGCGATGTCGATGTAGGTGATTCGACGTGTGTTGTCCGTCACGTCCAGCAGTACGTCACTTCCAGCACGATCGAACTGCTTTCCACAAAAGCGGAGTCGATCTCGCTCACATCGTCCGACCTCGAATCGCTCCAAGAGTCGATCCATGATGGCATCTCCAGTCTCCGTAGACGCCCACAAGAAGTCGTCTACATGCGTGGTGAGAAGCAGGTCCACCTTGCCATTCGTGGTGTGGTAGTAGAACGCAGGAAAAATGCGGCTCGCCTTCAAACCAACGTCCTTGGCGTCCTTGTCCACCCGCTTCCAAAAACCACGTCCACTGTCTCGGAGACCGTAGACAGGCACTCTGACCAGGAGCATAGCCTCTGGATCCACACCGGGCAAACCGCCTCGGGGCTGTCGCATGAGGATAATCCGGTCGATGGGCAGGGCCTGGAAGTACGCATTCTTGATGTCGGAGCTCTGGGTAGGAACTCCTTCACAAGCTGCAAATGCGCATACCATCGCGTGGGTCTCTAGGTCCGATGTAGGTGAGTCCGTACGGATCCCATCATCGGCCTCAAAATTCCCGCAACTAACGAGTCGGGATTTGAATTCCGGAACGAAGTTCTCGGTGTGCTGCTCGTGAATGTTTTTCACGGTATCGACCCACTTCGAAGGCAATGCTATGTGTCCTTCGGCCAACAAGTCCTCGAGGATCTTGCCTGAGACAGGGATCGCCGCCTGGAACGATTCGTACTTCAACCATTCTTTCTTGCGCGACTCGTCGATCTGCTTCTGGATAGACGGTGTGCAGTCGAAGTAGTTGAGCGTTCCTGGCAGGTCCTTCATCTCATCCTTCGTCAGTCTTGTTGCCATGAAGGCCATAAACTTCGCTCGTGGCTTTGCTCTAGTGGCGTTCAACGCACCATCTGTGTCGTTGACATAACGCGCTGTCTCTGAGTCGCGTATATTCTGCAGTCTCTCCCGGATCTGCACTGGCAAGTCGTCCTGGATGTCGTAGGTTGACGGTCTGCGACTTCCACCAGGGGTTCGCTCTCCTTCTGGTTCTGCAACACTAGGCCTCCTTCTTGACGTTGAGGTAGTCGACGAAGTAGCTGCATGCACACGCCGCTCAGGTGGTGACCTGGACCTTTCTCTCGTAGGCTCATCCTCTTCTTCGAGGATAGAGGGTAGAGGAGGTCCGCCTTGATCCTCCTGAGCTGGTGCTTGCGGAATGAGCGCTTGCTCATCCTCTTCTATTGGGGCTGCATCCTCCGCTCCAGGTTCGCGAACATCGTCGAAGTTCTGCTGTCCCCCTAGAATCTCATCTGGGAAAACTTGCTTGCCATGGAGGATGTCAAAGGCCAGTGCTTCTGCATCCGACGCGGGTCTTATGTTCTGCGCTGAGGCTAGAACAGGAACGTTCTCACAAAGGAGCCAAACTGCTTCCTTTTCACGTCCCTCGAACCCAATGATTCGGGATGCAGGAGACCAGGTCGTCTTCCCGGCTTTTGTGCGCCTAAAGGTCACAACATCTCCAACCCGATACTCGCCGGGTATTGGTTTTGCACTGCGGAGTAAGGCCTTCTGCACTCGCTTCGAGGTGTCGAGCTGCACAAATGCCTTCTTCGCTTCGGCTCTGCATTGGTGCTGGAGTGCAAAGGCTGACTCTGGATCTATGGAGTCCTGAATGGCTCCTAGGTCTGCGTGCCCATCTTCACTGAGGATAGATGGCAGTTCACGTGGCGCTCGTCCAAGCACCCACTGAGCCGGTGAGTAGCCTCCTTGCCTGAGTAGGCTATTCTTCACCAAACAGGCCTCATCGAGTACCTGCTGCATCTGTTGCCAACCATGCGCTTGAACTTGGGCAGCTGTCTTCCGGACCATAGCCTTGAGAACGCCTCCATGTCGTTCAACTCGTCCAATTGCTTCTGGAGTCTCCAAAGGCGCATGGGTGACCTGCACTCCATGGGCTCCCATATACTGGGCCAGGATCCCGCGGTTGTGCAATCCGCGGTCACACTTCATGGAGCTAGGATGGCCAGCCCAAGTGATCCATCGCCTCTGGATGGCCTCCAAACACTTGGAGCTAGTTGGGGTTCCAGGACCTTCACGAACAATTTCGGCCAATTGGAAACATGTGCCGAGGCACACCAAGTTCAAAACTTGATACTTGGTACCAGATGCGTCCAGGATCTCGAAGATGTCCACGCCGAGGGTGTGGTTGAACACGTAGGCGCCGGGCAACGATGTCGTGTGAGCATTTCTTCTCGGCTTCGTCTCCTCACACTCGATGCATCGGTGGTAACGCAGTCCTTCAAGGTACTGCGGATCAACCTTCGCAGCTCTGAGAAGGTTCATGAGCACCTTCCTGGGAGCATGGCCAAACTGGCGATGCAGCCGACGGATCGCTACCCTGATGCGCTGAGGTAGCTTCTTTCATCCGGCTCGTCGTTCCGCCTCCTGAATAGGTAGGTTCGGAACCTCGGCTTCATCAAGCTCGAGATCTTCTTGAATGGCCTCTTCACCCGGGTCCATTTGTGCTCGGTCCTCGACGTCCTCGACGCTGTCGAGGGGCTCCATCTCGGCATCCTCCCATGCAGGGTAGGACGTGCTAACCAACGCAATGGCTGTTTGATCGGTAACATACTCGATCAACCAGTTCGCAAATTCATTGTCGAACACATCATGCATTCCCTTCGGGGGTACATATGGGAATCCCCCGTTGCACCATCCTTCGAATGCTGATGCCAAGTCTTTGCTGTTTGACATATACGAAACGTCTCCATGTCCCAACTCGGGGTACATGGGAATCGAGAAGTAACTCCATCTCTCAGTATCCGCAACATCAATCACCAAAAACTCAGAACCTGAACACTCACAATGCGAAACAACTTCATCCATCAACTCGCTGTGATTCAAACAATCATCCCGATACTCAATCGCAACAACAATGACACTCGGGCTGCTTCCCTGAAGAGTTCGCCGAATCCCTTCTGCCGTCCATCCAACCTCTGCGTTCACTCCGGTGTCGAAGGTGTTGAAGTCGTTGTCCTGGAAGGCAGACGGGTTGGAGGTGATCAGAAGGGCATGGTTTCCAGGCTTCACCGTGTGGGTTGAAGTGTTGCAAAGGTGCCTTAGGGCCAAATCATGATCCCTAAGTTCCTGGATGCCATTCCGGACAGTTCTTCTTCGCCCTTTAGATAGAACTGCCATGAGTGCTGTACTAATTAGCATGCACCCCCTCGTTAGTTCCACTAGGGATACTAACCGACCTTGAACTCCCTGAAGAAGAAGACGAGGTAGTCGAGGTCTTGAGGATGTTGAAGTTGTTGGGGTGGAAGTACTTGTCGAGGCTCTTGTTGTGGTGGATGAGGTTGAGGTGGTTGAGGTTCTGGGTACACTGACTGCTCCGGGGCTTTGGCTGGTTTTGGTTCTGGGGTTGGTCCCGTGGTACGTGGAGTGCCGGGGCAGAAAGGGGCCTTGGGCTCCCTCACGCTCCGAGGAACGGGCTACGATGACATACACGTCCTCGGGATCGCGGTCACCAGCCAGGGTCGCCATAGGGGCGCCCATCGCAACGTCCTCCTGAAGGATCGTTGCCTTTCCAGTCGCAGCGTGGAACAGGAGTGAGGACTTCCTGAAACTCCTCAAGGCCTTATCTGGGTGATACGGCGCTGGCATGGGAATGTCCAGTAGCGGAGGTTGTGCTTGAGAACCTCCGTCGCGGGCTTGCTCCTCTCGACGGGGCCAACCCAGCCGTTCTTCGGGTACACGCGATCGGCCTCGATGTACAAGTTGTTCATCAACGTCTTAAGATCGTTGAAACTCAAGTTCGCAGCCCATGGGGTCTGCGGCGTTGGACCCTCCATGCCATCAACGTTCTGGAAGTAGCTGGGGAACTCCTCCTTGCCGTCGTCGTCGCCGCCCTGAATGTCCTCGTTGACTGCTTCTTCCTCACCAGGCTCTTCCTTGATCGGCGGTTCCGAGGGAACACGGCTTCCAGAGCCACGGGTCTTCGATCTGCTGACCGACCGGGCCCTGTCACTCTCTTCGCTGTCGAAGGACCTTAAGGTTCCTTCGGTGCCTATGCTCGAGTCTCGCTCGAGCCTACGTCGGCGCTTACGCTCGACGTCCAACTCGGTCTCGGCCGTGTCTTGTTCTCGGTGTTGAGCTCCGTGATGGTCTGCTTGTCAACTCGGGACTCTGCCTCGAGTCTCTCCTTCTGCTGCTGCCACGACTCCTCCTTCACCCCGTGGATGGCCTCGATGCGGATGCAGCGGTCGCGCCAGTAGCTCAAGTCATCCGTGGCCTCTCTGGGTCCACTCTTCGGCTGCGGCGGCACAAATGTGCCCCCGGGCTCACTGGCTCCGGGTCCGGCCTTGAGCACCACTGCCGGCGGCGACTTAGTCGCCGTGACCTTCGGGGTACTCGGTGCAGCGGGCGTCGACGGCGTAGCTGGCGGTGTAGCGGGCGCCGGAATGGCTGCCGCGACGTCCGGGTGCGGTGTAGTCGGCGGGGGCAAAGGAGGCGCAGTGTGACCAGGTGGTGGTGGACCTACCGGCTCCCGGGGCCGCAGGCTCCCCGTCACCCATGAGCCAGCCGGCCCCATGATCGCCATAGCCTTCGCCTGAGTGCGTCCATCTGGTCGGTGTGGTCCTCCTCCAGCAGGGCCAAGGCTCAGTGCCCTGCGCGTGGGCGGCACCGACGTGCTCCTGTCCAAACCGCTCGAATCCGACGATCTGGATCCGAGCTCAACTCCCTTAAGGTAGTTGGTGGCCATGGCGCCCACGTCCAAGATCGTCTTCTGATCGAATCTCTCGCCACATCTCACGCACTGACCTCCACAACGCATACCTTCCCAGGCTCGATGGGCGTCGTAGTGGATGAGGGCGTGCTGGCTCTTCCTGTTGCTGAGCATACAGGACAACAGCGTGCCAGCGGCTACGCTCCTGTGCCTGTTGGAAGTGCAAAAGAAAAGGATGACGATGTTCTCATTCGGCGGGGTGGAGTCGATGTCCTGCAATGCCCTATAAAGGTGCATTGTGCCGTTCCAGTTGCTGAGGAACTGCTTGATGATCTCCTGGTGGCGCCCCAGGCATCCACCATATCTGCCTTCGCCCGGGTTGCCGATGTTCCTGAGGTCGTAGACGAAGAGGCGCCCTGTCTGGAACTTCGGGTCGAGCCAGGGCCGCCAGGTCGCAGGCTGCTTGAACTTGTCCTGCCACCAGTTCTCGTCGGGGCCGACGTAGTACTTGATCCCCGCGGTCAAAATCGTGATCCGCGGATGGGCTCCCCTAATGTTGACGTCGTCGTTCGTGGGGTGCCACTCAATGCCGTTGCCGACAGTCTCGGAGGGCCACTTCGCTGTCCTTTCCACCATGGCTCCCTGGTCCAGAGGATCCAGAAAAAGCAAGTCGGGATTAACCTCGATTGCCGAGTAGCCCTTAGGATCTACTCCAGGATCGCTCTGCGGGGCTTTGTACGCTGTCGGCCTATCTTCCTTAGTAGGTCGTTTGATCCTACAAACATCCATACACTTCGGAAGCGGTTCAGACCTAATATGAAAGCATGACAGATTGATAAGCAAAAGACCAGTATCATTGCATCTAGCAAGAGGAAGTGACTGTTGGTTTCCGTCTTGATCCGCAATCCAACACACACATCGCTTCATGTCTTTCACAAGGCCGAGGGTGCTTTGGGCAAACAAACTGATCAACAGGGGATTCAGTGCATCGGTGTCTACTTCGTGGGTTTCGAGTACACCGGCTAGGGTCTCGCCTTGATCCCCAAGTTGGAGGCAAACGGGCAGCTTCCGCTTACCTATGGTTTTGGTGGTCGCCCCCAGGCCTGAGAAGCTCCGGGTGTTGGAATTTAGCCAGGGGAAGGTAAGACCGAAAGCCTTTAGGCGAGCTTCCGTCTGGATAGCCCAGATCTTACTATGGCAAGTGGAATTGCAACCTTCATCCAAGGCTCCCCAAATATCGGGCTCATCTGGGTCCCACATGTCTACATGGGGAAGGTTGTCGACAGGGACTAAGTCAGTGGGAAGGGAAGCCACGAACCCTGACTTAGGAATCCCGGTCCTTGTCGAGGTGGAGTGGAGGACGTCTCCAGATCGTCCTCTTTGAGCGTCTTCCGATCGCCCTTGCTGCAGTCCCATGTCCAGGTAGTAGAGCTCGTCGTCGAAGTAGAGTTCCTTGCGCAGGAGCCACGCCCTACTCCCATACCTAGTGCAGACTTAGGCAGGGGTAGGACATGATCTGGCGAAGTGCCTAGATCTAGGTCTGGACTAACCCCTAGACCCTTCTGCAGACACTCCGGTGCAGGCATCCGGGCGTCTTCGAGCGCTACCTTCTTGTGCTCAGAGAAGAGGTCACGGGCGATCCTCTTCCATCTCTCCAGGATATTTTCTTCTCTGGAGAGGATTGCTGGGTCGATGACTCCAACATGTGCAACTCTCGCCCAAGAGTCAGGACTACCCCCTGGGCTTGGTTCGTCGTTGCTGAGCATACGACTTCGGCTGATCGCTTCCTTGAGTCGACCATGCATGACATTCGGGGTCATCCTGATCCCCATAGCCATTGACTCCATGATGTCGTCGGTGAAGATGCTGAGGACGGACTCGACCTCGTCGGAGTTGAGTTCGCGGGTCGCATCTTCCGAAGTGGTGTACTGGATCATGGAGAGGGCCTCTTCCGTGGCCGCCAAGGCCTGCTCTGCAGCCTTCCTTCTTTCCTTCTGGAATTCGGCGGGGACCTCGTCCACGAAGGTTCCGCACTGCTTGCAGAACGTGCGGGAAACCGATCGTGAACTGCCTCTACGATCCACCACATCATGGGGACAGGTCGCCGGGTCGTGCGTGTAGGTGATCTGACGCGGCTCTTGGCTCACGTTACTACAGTCCCGGCACGTCTTCCTGAGGATGCTCATGGTCGAGCCTAGGTGCGAGAAGTCGTTGCATCCCTGGGCACAGCGCTCCAGTGGAGGATTCGGGGGCTTCTTGCTCCCCTTCTTGTTCTTCACCCGGGGCACATAGTGTCCCTCGGGAAGACCTTCGCCAGCTCGTGTGACCACCTCGCCGTTCTGGATGGTGTAGTATCTCGAGAACCAGGCCAGGAAGTCTTGGAGTTGGCGACTCGGGTTCGTCTGAAGCTGGGCCCAGGTGACGTACTCAGCGTTCGACGCCACTTCAGCATAGGTCTTCCCTCGGTGCTGACCGAGGTAGAACTTCCTATCTCCACCTTCCATCTCCATCGGGATCGGCGTGGGTCCCATTGGGTACCCTGATGCTGCAGCCTTGCTCCTTGCTTTAGAGACTGCACCAGCTGTGGCGCGCACAACATAGCCCGATGGGTCTATGTCCGGTGTGCCAGACGGTATGTCGAATCCGTCGGGCGACTCAGGTCCGCACATGCCATGACAGCTACGTTGGCGGCCTTTCCACCGGACTTGCCAGTTCCGGCAGGGAACTTGCACTCTGGGTCGCCTGCCCAGTGTCCTGTTCCGCCACAGCGCAAGCATTTCGACTTGGCCTTCAGCGCCTTCAGCTTGTCTCGGCGCTGCTCAAGTGTAAGGTGACTTCTGACTACCTTACCTTTCCCTTTTCCGCGTCCTTTCCTTCCCTTGCCCTTGGCTTTGCCGACAGCTGTGTGGGCAGCAAGAGAAAGCTGGATCGCGTGGCCAGCCTCTGGGGTCTGGTCCTCGAAGAGCTCCAGGGTGTTCAACGCGACCGCCTCAGCGTCGTCCACCTCATACTCCTCAAATTCTTCCTCGACGTCTTCGTCTCCCCATTGCTCTTCAGCGACGTAGGCCTCGGGGATGTAGTCGAGGGGTTCATGGGAGTCCTCCTCTTTGGCTATCTCGTCGTCGAAGGCGGCATAGGCTCTTCGAGGGAATCCTCGAGATTTCCCTTTTCCTTTGCCCTTGTAGAAGGGGGTCCTTCCGGTACCCTTTGCTGAGGGCATCGAGCCTCCCAGGGCTCGGCCTTCCTTCAGGTGCACGCCGGTGTAGTGCTCGACCAGAATCTCGGCAACGGACTCAAAGCCCTTTGAGTCCTTGGTGCATGCCTTAATGACCAGGGACTCCTGTCTAGATAGTCCCGAAAGCTCAAGGAGTAGCTCTACTCGCATCGGCTCCGAAAGCTCGATGGAACTGTCCAGCGTCTTGAGCAACTTCCACCACCGGCGTCGTCGTGAAACGTACGACAGCATCGATTCGCCGGACTGGCGTGACAGGGTACCAGGCCTCTGTCCTACGCGGAAGAGCTCTCTGGCTTCTTCCGCAGCGCGCGGAAATACCATCTCGCGCAGCTTCGCAATGTAACGGCGCAGTCCTCCAGGTGCTGTCAGGGCCTCAACGCCCATATCTCGCGCCAGATCAAAGGCGTCGTCTCGGAGGCCTTCGAGTACGCGATGTACCATTTCCGTCCTCGCCTTCGTGCTTGCCGGGGCCAATTCAGCGCTTTCCATGGAGAAGATACGCGGGCTCTTGTCTCCACGCCCTTTTCCTCTTCCGCCTCGGCTGGAGAGCGTCTCGAAGTCGAAGTACGCATCGTCGCGGGTTGCGCCGCTCTGGGTCGCATCTGCGGCGGGTCGCGGGGGATCCTCGCCATCATCCTCTCCAGGCCCGTCCGGGTCCTCGCCATCATCGCCGGCACCAGGCTCGGCCTCGGCACGGGCGCCCCCCGCGTCAGAGTCTCCTCTTTGGGATCCCTGACGGGATTGCGCACTGGCCTTCGCACGGATGGCATCCTCGTAGAGCTTCAGGCGCAAGAGCGTCCTGAATTCCCAGTCATGATATGTACTGGGGTCACCACCGTAGATGTATGACCCGGATTTGGTCTCGGCCATGGAGCTCGAGGAGGTGTTGCGGGTAAACCGCAGGCCTGCCACAGACATGGCAGAGGTCCAGGGAAAAGGAACTCGAGGTCGTAGAAGTCGGAGTTGCGAAGTGGGTCGATCGGCTCGCCCAAGGGCCACAAGATCGGTACCTAGGCAGCTGTAGCGGCAGGCCACCTAAAGGTCCTGCTCCGCTACCAGTTTGGATTTGATCCCAAGACTGGCAGTCGCACGGTACGTTTTCACTGCATAGCGTTCATGTAACGGCTACAAGGGGCCCCTTATGAACCGATGGGCCGCGGCATATATTCACATCCTGGCATGACTACACACTATACACAGCCTGGATTCAGACTAAACCCTAAACCCTAAACCCTAAACCCTAAACCCTAAACCCTAAACCCAAAGCTTGAAACGACGAGTGTGTTGAGACCCCCTGTCCGGCGAGCTGGATGTCAAGCGGAGGTCGTCATCCTAAGCTTTCAAGTTTTTGCGTTTGGGAGCTGGGGGTAACGGATGGTGCGTATGGCATTTTAAGGGCAGACATGAAGCAGGAATTGTATTCCTTGTATCCCCAACAGGACACCCAACATATACTCTCACCAATATGTTAAAAGGAACCTCATATACACTCACCAAGAACACTAATATAAACCTGCTTCATATAACCCAGGGACTCCTGGTTTAAGGCAGCCGCTTCTGTAGGGCGTGGGCCTTAGGGTTTAGGGTTTCGGGCTCCGGAAGATGCTTCCAAAGTGCCTAAGCCCAGAAAGATAGAACCCTAAACCCTAAACCCTAAACCCTAGACCCGGAGTCCCAAAACCCTGATCTTGCTTGGATTTATTTAGAAACTCTTCCGCCCAATGCAAAGCCTCCCACCAAGCCCTTCCGCGCACTAGATGTGCACTCTTGCGTGGAGCAGAACCTATCCCTAAACCCTAAACCCTAAACCCTAAACCCCAAACCCTAAACCCTAAACCCGAAACCCGAAACCCTAAACCCTACACGCCGTAAGCCCCATTATCCATCGTCGATCACGTCCCAGCTGCCAGCTCCACCACGGCGTCGCACATGAGGCGGAGCAGGGCTTGCGCGGCGCCTTGGGGCTGCGACCCCTGGGGAGTAGGGTTTAGGGTTTAGGGTTTAGGGTTTAGGGTTTAGGGTTTAGGGTTTAGGGTTTAGGGTTTAGGGTTTAGAAATGAGTAGGGTTTCGGGTTTGGGGTTTAGGGTTTAGGGTTTGGGGTTTGGGGTTTTGAAATGAAGGATTCGGGTTTGGTGTTTAGGGTTTGGGTTTCAGGTTTAGGGCTTTGGGGCTTCCCTTATGAATAAGGACCCCAGTAAGGTACCCGCAATTTCGAAACCCCGCAGATCGGAATCTCTGGGGGATTAGGGTTTAGAGAGTTGGGTCTGGGACCGTATACTAAACCGCTGCACTCATATGTCTCCTGTACTACAACTGGCGAAGAGCCCCCGAAAACTGGCGAAGAACTGAAAGCAGTGCTCGAAATGGTCTCTCAGGCCTGACCGTCGGCGGAACCTTAAAGGGTTTAGGGTTTAGGGTTTAGGGTTTAGGGTTTAGGGTTTAGGGTTTAGTTTCGACCTACCCCCCCCCCCCCCCCCCAAGGCCCTGACCTCCTACTCAACCCTCAGCCCCCTGAGTCCCTAAAGCCCTAAACTCCTAAGTCGAAGTCGGAAGCCCTAAACCCTAAACCCTAAACCCTAAACCCTAAACCCTAAACCCTAAACCCTAAACCCTAAACCCTAAACCCTAAACCCTCCACCCTAAAGCCCAAAAGCCCTAAAGCCCTGAACTCCTGAGTCGGGGGCCCTAAGTTTAGAGGGTCCTCAAGGAGCCGAGTGGGATGTTCATCCCGAGGTCCCTACTTAAGCCCCCTAGCACCCTCAACCCTAAACCCTAAACCCTAAACCCTAAACCCTAAACCCTAAACCCAGCTCTTTGGGAATACGTTGGAGTCTTTGGCATTTCCTGAAAGGCCCCGCAGAATCGGCCAAGTGTCTCAGTTGCGTCTGGGCATTCTTGCGTTGGATGTTCAGCTCTACGCGCCTGGTCGGGTTTAAGGTTTAGGGTTTAGGGTTTAGGGTTTAGGGTTTAGGGTTTAGGGTTTAGGGTTTAGGGAATCAGGGTCCCTACGGGCTTTGCATGCCGCAATCTGGAGCTTGGGAGCATCCAACATGCTTGAACAACATCTCCGGGGGGGCTTTAGGTGGGTGAAGGTTGGGGTTGAGCAAACCCTAAACCCTAAACCCTAAACCCTTAAACGCCCTTCTTTGGGCACCCTAAAGTAGTCGCGGCATGACCGCCAACAAACCAGAGAACTGAAAGTCACCCTAAACCCTAAACCCTAAACCAGCCTTCGGATATACAAGCCTTTGTTGCTGTGGAAGAGTCTAGGTTGATGGTGGCGTCTAGGGCCAAACCCTGATCCTCCTCTCTGTTATACAAGGTTGTTCGCTGAACTCTAAACCCTAAACCCTAAACCCTGAACCCTTAACCCTGAACCCTGAACCCTAAACCCTGAACCCAAAACCCCAACAAACCACCTGAAAAAGATTCCATACAAGATCCTCTCGAATCGCAGAAGGCAAGATGCAAATTGCCCAGGCGTCTACGCAAAAAGTCGCTCCGGGCTTCAGAGGTCGGGGGCTTCACTCTCAACCCTGAACCCTGAACCCTGAACTCTGAACCCGAAACCCTAAACCCTAAACCTTTCCTCTTTTCCTATAGGAAGGCAACGGGATGGGATCGGTTGTGGGTTAGGGCTGTGGGGTTTAACCCTAAACCCTAAACCCTAAACCCCAAACCCCAAACCCCAAACCCTAAACCCTAAAGCCCCAAAGCGATCTCAAGCCCAGGCACTGCGACAGTGTGCTCTGACAACTGGTGGCCACGAGCAGGGCGACAGCAACTTGTGTCAGCGACGTCCACAGGACCTTGTTGGGTTTAGGGTTTAGGGTTTAGGGTTTAGGGTTCGGGGGAAAATAACTTTTGGGTGTTGAAGAGCTTCCGATGGCAGGGTTTAGGGTTTAGGGTTAGAAGGGTCGAGCTTGTAGCTTCCGGTTCGCTGTCCCAAAGCCTCCCCGGTCAAGGGATATTTGTCCAAGCAGTCTCGCGGACTGGGAAGCCAAGGTTCATATTCTAAGCTTCCGCTGCGACCTAGAGGCTGAGGTATGTCTAGGCATGTTTAGGTATGTTAAGGTTGTAGGGTTTTAGGGTTTTAGGAACTTTGGGGGATTGGGCTTAGGTGTATGTAGGTTGTAGGGATTCGGGCATGTTTCGGTTTGAGGGGTTGTAGGGGTCTCCTCTAGGGCTGCAATGGGTTTCCAACAATTGGGGTTCCCTTTTTAGTGTCCAGGGGTCTGCTGCCCCCCCCCCCTCCGCCCTGCCCCTAGGGCGAAGCCTTGAAGCTTGTAAGCTTTCTAGGCTTGTAGCTCCCTGAGCAGGCGGGCTGCGGATTGATGCGGGCAACCGAAACAGTTTACTAATGGCGGCTACCTGCTCCATTGGAAAATTGCTTGGGGGCCGTTTTCGTATTGAAATGTTAAAAGAAAGAGCACATAAAGCCGGACACCAGAAAATTACGGAGGTTCTGATTCAAAATAATTTTGGGCCGCGCACTTCGCATAATTGCGGACCACCCTCATCAATGGGGGGGGGGTCCCCCATAAGTCTTCCAGAAAAACGCTCAATAGCCCTGTGGCTAAAGCGAGTCCAACATTAACATAGGGCCTCAATAATTGGAATAGGGTTTTTGCGGCTAATGATGGCAGAATAATTTCGGGACCAGACGGGAATACTATTAGTATTTGTTCCAACCCCCCCCGTCCCGTATTCCCAAGTGGTTTTTCGGGTTCGCGGGACCTCGAGTTGTTTTGTAGGGCACCCTGTACCCTAAACCCTAAACCCGAAACCCTAAACCAAGGGGGGTGCAGGCCAGTTGCTGTATTTATGTCACCCAGGTTGCCCAGGTCCTCTGTAGCAGATCTGTAGCACATGACCAAGACCTGTCCCAGTGGCAATCAGGGTTCAGGTGCGCTTTCCTTCCATTCCGCACTTAAACCCCCGACCCCAAACACAAAGCCCGCAACATTCCAGAGGCCGTCTGTGCACACAAGAACCACACAAAGAACCTTGACCACTTGTCCACCCAAATATGAATGGACAAGCTTTGCATCTACACAAGTTGGGCTTGCGGATTGCGTGAGAATGAAAGTCGCAGCTTCAATCAGGTTTTTCCAAACCCGAAACCCTACACCCTAAACCCTGAGCCCTAACCTTCCCTAAACCCTAAACAAGACATCGCCTTGCAAATAGCACACAGCCGAGACTCGAAGAGCAAGTTGAAGAAGAGTGCCAGGGAGATGCGGTTGCACATGATGCTGCCTCGATGCTGGGTTTTGGGGTTAAGGGTTTAGGGTTGAGGGTTTAGGGTTTAAGGTTTCGGGCTTTAGGTAGCAAGCTCAAACCCTAAACCCTAAACCCCCTAAACCCTGTTTTTGACCTTTGCAAGCTCAGGTCTCCCTTGTGTTTGTGCTCGCGATCATGTTGTTCATTTATGTGCTTGAGCTTGGAAGAGCCAAATCCTGCAAAAGGGGCCTCGGCAAGCCACGCCAGCAACAACGCAATCTAGGGGCCTGAATATTAAGGTTTAGGGTTTAGGGTTCAGAAAAGGGCTTTTTGGCATGGCATATCTATCTAAGGACCATAAGGGACAATAAGGGAATGCCATTCTGTAGTAAGTATTCCGACCCATGTGTTACACAAAACACGCCCTCTGGCTTTGGAAGCCCTGAACTTCTCGAGGAGCGCTGTGTCTATATTCCCCTTAGAACCTTCAAAACATCTTGGGTTTAGAAACAGAAATATTAAAAATAATTCCCAAGGGGATATGGGGTGTCTTGCGGGAACGTTCTGAGACTTTTTTCGTGGAATTGGCTCAGAGACTGGAGCTGTCCCCCCTCCCCCCCCTCTCCCCTTGTGAGGGCGGCACAAGAATGAAATACCCTAAACCCTAAACCCTAAACCCCAAACCCGAAACCCTAAACTGCCCTAGGACAAGGGCAAGATGCGATTAGATATTAACAACGAACTAGACGCACTGGTGGACACACTAAGCAAGGACAATGGGGGTTTCCGAAATTCGGGGTACCTTATTGGAGTGCTTAGTATGGGGATCTATAGTGGGTCCCCTATTTACACCCTAAACCCTAAACCCTAAACCAAAAACCCAAACTAGAGACACTGGTGGACAGGCGACGTAGCGTGACAGAAGGACATTTACATCGGCAAGGTGCACCCAGTAGCAGAGGTGAAGCGCAGGGTCATGCATGGGTTTAGGATTTAGGGTTTAGGGTTCCGGGTCTGGCGTTCCGGGTTTAGGGGTTTAAAGAGGGCTTATACGGCCACCTGAACCCTAAGAAACAGGAATGGGTGGGTCTTAGCATATGCATCTAATCTGGTCAATGTCATTGGTGGCCATGGTGCACGGCAGTCGAAAGAAGAGCAGAACGATGTAGGAGAACGTGTAGGCTTGCCTCTTCCGGCCCTAACCCTAAACCCTAAACCCTCAACCCTAAACCCTAAAAACTCTAAACCGTGAAGGCTCCACCCAACCACCCAGAACGCCCTCCAACAGAATCCTCAACCCGGAACATTGGCCCCTAAACCCTAAACCCTAAACCCTAAACCCTAAACCCTAAATCCTAAACCCTAAAACCCTAAACCCTAAACCCTCAACCCTGACTTCTCATCCCTAAACCCCAGACCGTGAACCCTTAAACGAACACTCCCATCTTCATTGAAAGGGAACAACGAGGCTTTCCGAAAACCTATAAGAATTATAGTACTTAGTACTTAGGGTTTAGGGTGGGGTCCCCCAACTTCAGAACCCCCATATATACATATACATATACATATACATATATATATATATGTACACTGACCAAAAACAGGACTATGAACCCTGTACTTAATCCGAAAGCCTGGGAAGATGAGGTTTAACTGGGGTTTCGGGGTTGACATTTGGAGTTTCATCAGGGTGTGGGGGTCTAGGGTTTAGTGTTTTTTGTTTTTTTGGCGGGGGGGGGTGGGGGGGGCAGGGGAGGGAGAGAGGGGGGGTTAGGGTCTTCAAGGGGCTCACAGGGGTAAAGGTTCCTAGGAAGCCTTAGGGAAAGGTACATTTAGTGACCGTTGGGTTGCCTCTGGAATGCCTAAGCCCTAAACCCCAAACCCTAAACCCGGCTTGCGGAGGGGGTGGGCGTGTCTTGATTCAGTCAAGCTCGGCCTTTCGGCTCATGGCTTTACGAACCTTGATAAACATGTTTTTTTTTTAAGATATACCCTCGGGTTTTTATTCACAAAATGAATCCTAAGGTGGTCTTGAGAAGGGCTTAGGGTTCAGGGTTCAGGGTTTTGGGTTTAAGATTTTCTGAGAAGCGTTTATGGTACCACTGCGCCGCCAGGGATGCAAAGTGAGGCACCCTCAACATTGACCGTTTCGCCCCGGAGGGACCGCAACTGCTGTAGGGCCACAGCCAGGGCTCTGTAAGAACCCCAAAACCAAAGGCTAAATACCTGAACCCTAAAATCCCTCAAGGCTATATGGGGGTTTACGAAATTAGGGGTGCCGTTTTGGGGTCCTGATTATAAGGGAATCCTACTGGTTGGGGGTCTGTTTTAAGGATTGTGCGTAAACCCCCCATATACGCTGAATCCTAAGCCCCATAAACCCTAAACACTCCACAAGTGCAGTGCTCAAAATCGGGCTGAGGAAAACACCGGCCATGTTGTCATCACATGGCTTGACGCCGTAAGCCGTAGAGAATATACATGTACATATGACAAAACACAGATAGGCAAAAATCGAGACCCCGGAAAGGGAGCCTGAATGCAAAGTAAACCCCAACCCCCCTAAACCCTGAACCCTAAACCTTCAATCCTAAACCCTAAACCCTAATCCCTAAACCTTCAATCCTAAATTCTAAACTCTAAACCCTTTACCTTGAACCCCGAAGTGAAGCTGAGCAGCTCGGCTGCCGTGAACCAAGGCGTAATATACATCAGGGCAAACAGCATGTACAGCCCATACCTGGGTTGAGTGTTTGCGTGCTTGTTTAGGATGTTCCCCCTAAAACTAACAGTCCTTGATAGGGATTATGCCCCCCCCCCCCCCTATCACAATCCCCATTAAGGACTGTTAGTCTCAGGGGAAACATCCCAATGCCTAATAATTCAGGGGTCGGGATGGTTTCAGATCTGTTTGTCCAAGACCCGGCTGGTCCTTGGTAGGGAATGAGGGAATGGGGTACCCGATATAATCCACCCTAAACCCTAAATCCTAAACCCTAAACCTTAAGGTTCCCTCATTCCCTACTAAGAACCAAGTGGGAAACCTCAAGGTTCAGGTCTGCTACTCCTTGAGGTGTAGAAGGATGCAAGGCGTGCTGCGTGTCCGTTCTTTGGCCTTGCAGAAGCCTCGGTTAGGGTTCGGGTTGGGTGGGGGTGGGGGGTTCTTGCTCGGAAAGTTGAAACCCTAAACCCTGAACCCTGAACCCTAAACCCCTCTCGGTCGATTTTCGGGGTCACATGTGCAACCCTGTAAAGGCCATCAAAGGAGCCCCGCGGATTCTATTAAGAAACATATAGATGGCACCGGGAACTGAGGCGGCTCCTTCTTGCCAAAACCCCGGAACTCCAAACCCTAAACCATCCCTCTGGACTGTGGAAGACAGGTTGAGGTTTGGGGGTTGGGCTTTGGGGTTTGGGGTTTGGGGGTGCCAAAGTGCGGAGATTCTGAGAAGGGGGCCGTCACTTAAAGAAGAACCCGCCCCGAAACCTTCGCCAACGGATCGTGGAAGCCGTGCAAGACAGACTCCCCAAAGTCTCTAAACTCCCTAACCCTAAACTCCCTAAACTCCCGAAACCCCCCTGAAAGCCCCGAACCCTAAACCTAAACCCTAAGCCCTAAGCCCTAAGCCCTAAGCCCTAAGCCCTAAGCCCGCAGCCCTAAGCCCTAAGCCCTAAACCCTAAACCCTAAACCCTAAACCCCAAGCCGAGATGCCATGCAGCGAGGGTCCGGGCAGACACCGCGGCCGGGCACCAGCAGGTCAGAGTTCCGGCCGCGAAGACAGAGATGTTCCCCCAGGTGACCTTCAATCTGCTGCTTAAGAACCCCGTTTGGGGTTTAGGGTTTAGGGTTTAGGGTTTATGGTTAGGTGCTGAGTTCAAGGCTTGGGGTTCAGCGTTATTCAGGGTTCAGGGTTTAGGGTGCAGGGCTTGGGGCTTAGGCAAGCCAAGCAGCCTGACACCTGAGCCACACAACTCCTGTTCGCTTGCAACTAGAGCCATCGTCGAACTTAGGGTTTAGGGTTTAGGCAGTATAACATGTCGAACACCAAATCACGCGAGTTCTATATTATAGACAACAAGAAAAAATACCATTCCTGGACGGAGATTTTGCAGATCAGGATTCAGGATTGATGGCTGGGCAGGGATCTAACACTCTCCTCCTCTAGTGAAACCCCACACTCGTCCCTGATCGGCTCAGATTTGCTAATTAAGGGCTCTTAGGGCTTCAGGGCTTTAAGGTTTAGGGTTCGGGGCTTTTGGAGCTTGAATCCATGCGGCGGCCGAAGACATCCAGCGCTCTCGGCCGAGGAAGATGCTCTGCTGCATGGAGAGAACATTGCTGAAGCTCAGGACGCAAAACACCGCGAGGAACCTGACTTAGGGACGAGCGTGCGATCATTTACTAACGTAAAACCCCAGTGCCGGCTACACCGGCCGCGGCTCCAGTCCACGCAGCCGCTTCAGGGTTTAGGGTTTAGGGTTTAGCCCTCCTCCCTCCCCACCCCCGTCTCCCTGATCGGAAACTTTGTCACTATCATGACACTATCATGGGAAGGTTGTATGGTGTCGGGGAGGGGTTGAGACGAAAGGGAGGAGACGTGCTCTTTGCTTTTCTCACAATGAAGGCTCATGGAGTTGTAGCTTTGGACTAAACTGCAAACACTAAACCTTAAACCCTAAACCCTAAACCCTAAACCCTAAACCCTAAACCGGCCTCCTCGCCCAGAGGACCCGGAGCTGAAGAACTTCAGATGCAATCAGCAGCTCCTGGGAGCGTCGACGTCCGGGATAGGGTTTAGGGTTTAGGGTTTAGGGTTTAGGGTTTAGGGTTTAGGGTTTAGGGTTTAGGGTTTAGGGTTTAGGGTTTAGGGTTTAGGGTTTAGGGTTTAGGGTTTAGGGTTAGTGGATTCATCTTTGCATGACGCGTATATTTCCCTTCCTGATGAAACCAATGAGAACAAGCCCAAGTCCGTCAGGAGCGAGCGAAAGGCAAGAGCGCAAAACGCTTGCATTTTCTTGGGCTTTGTGAACACCTGAACGGCCCATGGTTTTGGGTCGCGTTGTTAGGTCGGTGGCTTCCTCGTCCTCAAGGATGGCTCACTTTCGAAGAGACGAGCGTGCTGAAAGTGAAGAAGGGACGGAACTTGCCAGTCAAGCAGTTGGTTTTTGCAGCCGTCGGACCTTTCCTAACCTTACAATCGCTGTGTCACGCAACTTGACCCAAAGACCCGTGTTAAGTCCTAGAACATCAACCTACCTTAGGATTTTTTGCTGCACTATGTCACTATGTTGGCACGCTTTTGGATTGAGTTACAAGGAAATCACCGGAGAGAACGAACGCATGAGTTCAAGATCCAAAAAACACAGAACGAACCCGCACATTCTTCTAAGTTCTTTTGCTGCTGACTTTCGGGCTTCCAACGCTTGTCTTTCTGGCTGCATCAAGAGAGAAATGAGAACGCTCGTATGTTGCTTCCACGGGGCTCGCGTCTGAATGTGAAAACTCAACTTCATTCATGCGTCACTTCGCTCTTTGTGATTCTGGTCTATTCTCACGTAGACACGAACAATGTCCAAGTCTGTGAGCTCAATGTCTTATTCGGGTGGTCTTTCTCCTGGTTATGGAATCCAAAGAACGACCGCAGCACCCATCACACCTTGACTTGAGACCCTAACCAACTAACGCTCACATCTTGGTCTTGTGCTCACACCCTCAGTCTCTATCTACCTCCACTATTTACGTGAGAGAAGCCCCGTGCAGGAGAACAATTCTGATGTTAGCAACAGACCCGAAGATCACAGTGTCTCTTGAATGTTATAGAATCCCCTAACCCTAAACCGTTATAAAACCCTGGTGCAACCCCTTCCTGCGCTGTGGCCGGCTTGCGTGGGGTTATCCACATCGACACGGTACGGTGGGGGCAGGAGAGGCAACGCCGAAGGACGTTGCCAACATCCTGCTGAGGGATTTCGGGGGTTTAGGGCTTAGGGTTCAGGTTTGGGGTTTAGGTTTGGGGTTTGGGGTTTGGGGTTTGGGGTTTGGGGTTTGGGGTTTGGGGTTTGGGGCTTGGGGCTTGGGGTGTGGGGCTTTTTGGCTTCGGGCCTCGAAGATTTTGGAGGGTTTCGGACTTCGGGTCACTAGGTTTTCGGGTTCACGGTCGGACTGTTTCGGTTGCACAGGCCTCAGGCTTCGAAATCATTGAGCCCCTCCCGAAAACCCTAGACCCCAAACCCTAAACCCTAAACCCAAAACCCGAAAAAACCCTAGACCCTACAAAAAAACAAAAAAACAACCTACCCCATCTCCCCTTAGAGGGCACCCCCAGCCTTGCAGTGCGTGCAGACGTAGCGCACCAGCCGCGCCAAACAGGCGCACTCCAGGACCAAGGAAATCAGGGCAAAAGCCAGTGTCTCCATTGCAACCACTTACTTCTCCAATACCCCAAGTGGGGAGAAAAAGTTTAAAACTTTACGTTACTCTTCCTAGTAAATGAGGAAGCCTAAAAAAAATTAAAGTTCAACGCTTGGCTAAGTAAGCCACTCAACCCTTTTCCCAGACCTTTAAAACCTCATCCTCGAGCCGGCGTGCCGGGCTTAGGGTTCGGGTTTCGGGTTTAGGAAGGTTTTCGGGTTTATTCTACAACGCCTGAAAAGGGGTTATGAGGGGTTGACATTGGAGAACTACGTAGTACATGTCAACCAGTCTCAAAACACGAAGCCCTAAACCCTCAACCGAATCCCTGCACTCTCATCCCTGTACCTTATGTAGAGGTTCACTCCTTGAGCATAAAGGGGAATCAGACAAGTTCTTTCACACATTGCTACCCGATCCCCGACAGCACCCCCCTTCCCCTGCTACACCCTGCTGGGGCTCAGGGTTTAGTTTAGGGTTTAGGGTTTAGGGTTTAGGGTTTAGGGTTTAGGGTTTAGGGTTTAGGGTTTAGGGTTTAGGGTTTAGGGTTTAGGGTTTAGGGTTTAGGGTTTAGGGTTTAGGGCTTCAGGGCTCTGCGACGAACCCCCACCGACTCCGAAGCTGTCTGTGGAGCTGCAAGGCCGTCTGTACACGGTTCCTTCCCCCCTTTCCCAGCCCCCTGAAGTAGGACACCCAAATAGTGCCCTGAACCCTAAACCCAATAGACCATAGACCCTAAACCCTCGACCCTAGACCCTAAGCTACTCTTGGGTCATTCTGGGAACCTCGAAGGCGATCTACTTTTGGGATCCTCGCCAGGGGTCTGGGTTGGGGGGAGCCAGACATTGCATCTGAGCGGTGCCTGCTTGCGTGGCTCCCCTTGTTTGCCTTTGGGCTACGGGCCCTGGTGGAAGGGTTTAGGGTGTGGGGTTTAGGGTTTAGGGTTTAGGGTCTAGGGTCTAGGGGTCTAGGGGTCTGGGGTTTAGGGTTTCGCCAACGCCAATAAAGCGAAGCATGCACTCAGGGCTCACCCATTTATACCAAAGGATTAGAGCTCAGGGTTTAGGAGTTTAGGATGATTTGGTCAGTTCTCTTGATTGCGGTCCCTTTGGGGCTAGCACACAAAGCCGACCCCAGATATTTCGGGTACCCGCAAAGGGATGGGTTTCGGGTTTAGGGTTTAGGGCTTAGGGTTTGGGGTTTAGGCTTTAGGGTTCAGGGTTTAGGGTTTCTGGGACTTTGGGGTTTTAAAGTGCAGGTCTGGGGGTGGGCATCACGCTGACTTGCGTCCTGGGAGCCACCGTCAAAACAAGTAGCTCGTCTCGACAGCTCTTTAGCCTCCAGCCCTAAACTACTGCTTGCCTAAGAACCCACCAAAAGGCAGAAACACATGAGTCCTTAAAGGGCAATGTAATATTCTTATCATTGATTATATTTTTTGGGGGTTCTTAAGCAAAGAGTAGTAAACGAGCTACGGAAGAACCTCATACACGAAGAGGATGACCAGGACAACGAAGAGTGCAAGGATCTCGCGGCGTGAGAGCGCAAAAAAGACAACTCAGCATCTTATACTTGGTAGCCCAGTAGCCACATGATGAAAAAGGTACCTTTTTGAGTTGGTTACTTTTTAAGGGAATCACCCTAAGCCCAAACCGAAACCCGAAAGCCGAAAGCCGAAAGCCGAAACCCTAAACCCTAAACCCTAAACCCTAAACCCAGCGGTGCTACCAAGGACAGGAGGGTTTGTCGTTACAAGGCACTCCAGGGGCGATCTCTACTTCATGGATCCTCGCAAGGGTCTTGGCACTTGGGTTTAGGGTTTAGGGTTTAGGGTTTGGGGTTTAGGGTTTGGGGTTTGGGGTTTAGGGTCTAGGGTCTAGGGTCTAGGGTTCAGGGTTCGGGAGTAAAACAAAAAAAGACGAAGTCCCGATTTGGGATTCGTGGGGTTCACCAGGGAACCAGCCCCGAAATGTAGTAAAAAAAAAGTGCCCCGCTGGGGAGCTCGCAATCCCCCCCTACAAGCCCTAAGCCTGATGCCACCACTGTCTCCAGCACCAAAAGTCGCAGTTTGGGTTTAGGGTTTGGGGTTTAGGGTTTAGGGTTTAAGGTTTAGGGCAACCCCTGCCTAACTCCCCAACCTTTCCACCTCCCCATCACCTCCAAACATCTAACACCCAAGCACTTACGTCGCTAATCCCGAAACCCCCCAGACCTGCCTAACTCCCCAACCTTTCCACCTCCCCATCACCTCCAAACATCTAACACCCAAGCACTTACGTCGCTAATCCCGAAACCCCCCAGACCCCTAAAACCCCTACAAGCCCTAAACCCTAAACCCCAAACCCCTAAACCCCTAAACCCCTAAACCCCTAAACCCCTAAACCCCTAAACCCCTAAACCCCTAAACCCCTAAACCCCTAAACCCCTAAACCCCTAAACCCCTAAACCCCTAAACCCCTAAACCCCTAAACCCCTAAACCCCTAAACCCCTAAACCCTAAACCCCTAAACCCCTAAACCCCTAAACCCCTAAACCCCTAAACCCCCCTAAACCCCTAAACCCCTAAACCCCTAAACCCCTAAACCCCTAAACCCCTAAACCCCTAAACCCCTAAACCCCTAAACCCCTAAACCCCTAAACCCCTGCCAAAAATATGCCGGGGAGGCCGAGAAGCCCAGCCAGCGATTCCGATCCAACGCTTGGAAGCGAGTAAGCATCCTCCCGGGGGCAACTTTCCTCCCTAAACCCTAAAGCCTAAAGCCTAAAGCCTAAAGCCTAAACCCTAAAGCCTAAAGCCTAAAGCCTCAAGCCTCAAGCCTAAAGCCTAAACCCAAGCCCTTTCTAAACCCAAGACCTTAAACCACAAGGGCTGGAAGCTGCTTAAACTTACCCCACCCCCGGCCTGACCCAATCGCAAAGAGAGCAAAGCACGTCCCCTTGCCCAATATAGGGCGCCTACTTGCCCATGCAACCACGCTAAGGACTGTTTAAGGTGAATACGTGGGTAGTTCTAAATTATGAGGTCCCTTATGTCAAGGGTGCCGTACTTTGCAGGGTACCCAAAAGGGTCCCTTCTTTTTATAGAACGACCCATGTGGGCTAAACTTGCTTTTCCCATGAACAAGGTAGGGGATAGGATTAGGGGGACCCTTGGGGATATAGACCCTCTGAATAGGGTCCCTTGCTAAGAGAGCCAGCAGAGGGTTAAGAAGGGGTTCCGTTTTAAGGGTCCCCCTTATCTCACCTAGGACAAGGAAGCCCAAGCAGTTGAAGCGCCAGGCTTGTGCCCAAACCCAAACAACCTCAAGCCCTAAACCTCAAAACTGTTGGCGAAGTAAAGCGTATACAGATTGCCAGGATGCCAGTGGCTTCTTGACCCTAAGACCTAAATGGGGGTTTCCGAAAACAAGGGACCCCTAGAATAGTATTCCCGTATAAGAATGAGCCCAAACTTGGTACCTTTCGGACACCCCAAAGGGAGGTTCACGGTTCTTAGTAACCAACTATAACTGTACTTCTTACTATACCTATAACCCTGTGAGGGCACTTAAGGGGCTTACAAGTGGGTTATAAGTACAGTTATAATTGGTTAACAAGTACCATGAACCGCCAAGTAGGGTTTCGGGCTTCATAAGCTCCTGGGTCTTAGCCTTCAGGGTTACGGACCTTTCACCCGAAACCTTTCCGCAGATTTGTTCTGCGAAACTTTTCTCGAAACTTTCCCCAGACCTGAAACCCTAAACCCTAAACCCTAAACCCTAAACCCTAAACCCTTAACCTTAAACCCTGATAATCTTAAACAAACTAAGCCCACAAACTTTGCGAGGTGAAGGGTTTATCCAAGGGCCCCGGCGACCGAGCGCGCCCCAAGCGGACAGATGTGCGGTCGGTCGTCTAGCAGGTTCGGGCTCTCGGGTTTAATTTGTGAGTTTTGCTTTTGGGGCTTTTGAAGGTGTATGTGCAATTTTGGTCGTATGTGGTTTTTGTGAAGGCTTCTTTGTTGTTGTGTTGTTTTTTTAAATGTTGGGATGCATCTTCGGGTTGGGATTTAATCATCCTCAAACGTCATGACAAATTAGAGGTGCCGCTGTTGGGGGCATGGTCTCAACTTCCCCCCCCGAGAAGGGTTTGAGAATCTAAGCTGTCCAAACCACGATGCGAAGACTCAGACTACCAAAAGCTCAACAGCTTCAACCCATAGAGGGGGGGGGGGGGGGGGGCAATCAGGTGACCAAACCCAAGAGTAGAGTAACCTAGGAATATAAAAAAAGGTGCCCTTTGAGGTTCAACGGGGCTTAGAAAGGAACCCAAAGTAACACAGAAGGGGATAAGGGCCCCACGCTGGGTCCTAGGTGAGGTCGCTGAAGCCTAAACCCCCAAACCACATGTCTCGGCTCCGCCCCCGTCTTGTGGCAAACCCTTTCTGTGCAGACATGGCATGTATTCAAGCAGAGGCCTGGGCTTCGGGTGCAGGCGAAACCCCAAACCGTCAACCCCTAAGAGTTTAGAGGTTTGGGTTTGCACGCCTAAGCTCAACCTCCGGGTCCTGGAATTCATTCCCCAAAGCCCTATACGGGGGCAACCGAAAGGGGAAGGGAATCAACCCAAACAGTCGCCAGAGGTTTCACCCTGAACCAACCAGCAAACACCAAGAACTCAAAACTTCTTTTTGCTACCAGGCGCATGGCCCAGTCTTGAGCCAATAAGATTACCGGGCGCATTGACCCAACAACTTTCAACACCAACTCTTCTCTACAATACCAACTGCAGCTCCGCACTCCCCCTGTCCTAGGGTTTCCTAGGACACACATTGGAGGTGCAGACCTTTGGCCAAAAACTGCCATTTAGGCAGCAGCCAGCTGCTTGAAATGCACATTATGGTTTTACGTCATCCAGGACGAACCTTCAGCTCATTGGCCGAATCCCTTACCATTGAGGATTTCTTCACCTCACACTTGAAAAAGTTTACGTTCCAGCGGCCCGTTCCTCACCAAGGAACTCGGCA